CGGAAGAGTAAAGGCATTTGGACTCCTGGAAGTCCATCAGGTATGATTACCTCCCATTATGTTTACCCTGTGGGACAGTGGAGCTGCTGCAAGTGAGGATGATAACCAGGAGCAAAAGGATAAGGCCAACCTTCACATTCAAGCAAGTACACTGCAAATGCTGTGGGATCTATGTACAGGTGCATGGTTGAGCCAGTCAGTAGCTGTTTGAATAATGCTCAAAAGTCCACAGGCAGGAGTGTTTGGAAAGTAACAGGGATATTGCTCAAGCAGCTCAGGAAATCATTTTGCTGTTGCTTTTCCCGAGGTCCTCATTTATTATGCTCACTACAGTGAAAAGAAACTGTTGCAGCTCAAGCACAAATGTCTGCCTTTATTGAGATTATCATTATTATTATTGGAATGCCTGTATTGACTTCTGAGGATCCTTTGGAAGAAATTAGGTACTATTGATTCAGCAGAGACAGGTTCCTTTTGTGTCAGAAACAGCATGGTGGTGCCAATTTACCTTTCTTTACCCAGGAGTGTATTGTTTCCAGAAGGAAATAATTTTTTAAACATGTCACTTACTTTTTTGAAGGTAATAGGTGCTCTTTCATCTTCCAGCATTTGGTACTCCAATGATCTGTCTTATATGAAAGCCTCACACAGCCTGACAGCAAAACACTTAATTCCCGGAGAACAGCTACATTAAGTATGTGTCATATTATTCTCATTATATTATTTAACATATTTTAAAAGCTCAAAATAAAAATTAAAGGAAAATGAATACATTAGAGGCAATCAGAAAATTTCATTGCAAAGTTTATTTTCACTCATTCTGTTCTTATATGCTTTTTCTTCTCTCTTTAATGCTCAATTGCTCATGGCTTTTCCCTTTTTATAAATTCCTGTTTGAATGTGGAACAACCCAACAGGAGGTCCTCTCATTTCACATAGCTGATAGGAAAGATAATCTGTCTATTTGTGTATGCGTTCTGCAATGGAGCAATTCTCACATTAAGCATCCTGTGCCACTGTAAACAACGTCGCCCTCGCAGCCCAGGCAGAGGTCAGGTCTGGCATGTGTCTGCAGGACTTGCTCCTGGGTGTAGCTACCCCTGCATAGGACTAGCTTTCACAGCACCTACAGTACTAGCCACTCTGGCACTGGTGCCAGTACTTCCCTTTTCCCAAATGTAGGCTTGTGGGCCTTGGGCCAGGGAAAGGGGAGACAGCAGCTGAGGAAGCTGAGGTGGGTGCTATGTACACACCTTGTTAAAGCTTACTTCCTTTCAGTTCAAGCGGGGGGGGGGGTGCTTATGCTTTACACACATGCCATCTTTATATGAGCAGGAAGGACAATTGACCCTTCAGCGTCTTGCAAAACAGATGTTCAGTATGTGCGCTTGGGCACCCACTTCCTTTTCCCCTTGTCATTTGTTAAATGATCAGGGATCCACCAGAAATGTTGAATGTCTTCCCAGAGGTTTGGTGCCAGACCCATGTCTGGGCATGTGGGTTTCTGTGGGAGCAGCGAGGAGCAAGTTTCTGGGAAGGGTTAGCAGTCAGCAGAAGCTCCCTTTTTTTGCCCATTGCTTTTCCTCTGCAGCTCCTCAAATTGACTGGTTTCTCCAAGCATAGCTTTACAAAGGTGTTTCCTATATATTCCTGTAGCTGGAAACAATTCTGACTAGATTCACATCAAGCATTTAATTTGGTCCTTGCTTAGGTCAGAAATAGGATGTGCGATACATTTGTTTCAGGATGTTCACCCCCTATGGGAGCAAACATGGCTTCAGGCACAACCCAAGCTCCAAGTTCATACTCTTATGAGTTTGCAATAAGATACACTCTTTCATCCTCCCCCAAAAGTACACTCAACAACATTAATCTATTTCAAAACTGTGTACAAAAAGAGTACACTTAAGTAAGTACATAATGCATTTTAATCATGCAGACATGTGTACATTTCAAAAACAAATGTGCAAAACTAGCTTTCAATCGGGCAGAAGAGTATGTAGGTTTCAAAAAATGAGTATACATTTGGAAAAATATGAACAAAATATGCATAGATTTTCATGCTGACCCTCACCCCTACCCCACCCACCCACCCAAAATGTCACAGAAACAAACAAACAAGGAAACAGACAAACCTGAAGCATTAAAGCTGATATGGTAAGTTTAAGATCAACTCCTTCATGAGAAGGTGGAAACGTGTGGCCAACCAGATGTTGCCGCACTGCAAAGCAAAGGCTCATGGGAGCTGTAAGTGAGCCCCATCTGGAGGATCAGACATTTCCCAAGATGTGAGATGTACAGATGCAGCAAAAATTCATTCCTGCTGTGGCTTGTACTTTACCAGGTGGCTTCTGTTCCATCATTGTCTCATTGACAGAATCAGATTTCATGTAAATCCATGCTTAAGCAAGTTCCTGAAAAATGGAAAACACCCCTCTCTCAACATTGGCAAATTACTCTGAAATGCGTATCTCCTTATGCTTTAGGCTCATGAGCGAAATGCACATTTTTGTTCAGGCTTTCCCCCATATTTTTATTTGATTATATTTGCATAAAATTACAGGATAAATAAATTACAGGATACTTCTGCAAGTCCACAGAATGTAGGTAACCATGGAAAAGCTGGTCCATTTTGGAAAATCATTTATGTATTTATTTCATTTCATTTTTATACTGCTCAAGATCTGAGGCAATTAACAAAAATAAAATTAAACAAAAGTTAAACATACACACACATTAATTTAAAAGAATAAAACCATAATAGCAATTGGAATTGGTAGTATTCATCACAGAAGCATAGCAGTGATACAGAATAAAATTGAATATATGAAACAAATGCTGAGAGAATAAAAAGGTCTTCACTTGGCACTGAAAAGAATACCAAGTAGGCGTCAGGTGTACTTTGAAGGTCTTTGAAGAGCTCATTCCACAGCTGGGGTACCATAGCCAAGAAGGCCCTCCTCCAGGTAGCTACCTGCCTCCCTCCCTTTGGACCCCTTGGAAGCAATATAAGGGTAAGATTCTTAGAAATTTGAGCTCTTTTGCATCCTTTGAGGATTTGCTGACATTCCTATTGAGATATCATACTGTACTTGAGTTTTAGAACACTTTTACAGCACTTTCTATAACTTAAATGGATGCCATTCTGCTATTTAGATTTTACTCTTTAAAACTAGCTATACAGGCTGTGGTGATGGAGTGAGATGTCAGTACAAAGAACACCCAGCACCAAGAAATGTCCCTCATTTCTCAGAGTGATCCTCGTTGTCAGGTTATTGCATCTGACTAGAGTTTTAAACATGAATAACTTCTGTTCTACATGTGCATGTAATGATTTTCCACCTTTGTAATATGCTTTGTAATCACCAAATGGTTTGGCTTAAAAGACACATTGTAATGACTTTGGGCCCCTTGCATTTTATTGTTCCTTTAATCCCCCATTACTCGTTTGCCTGTTTAACAGCAATTGAATTTCAAGACTATTCTACCCCCTTTTTATTGTCTGTGCTTTATGACCGAACCAATAAATGTAACTGTTAGAATCAAACTGGCCCAGTCTATTCGGATAGAGACATCTTAACTATGGAGTCAAAATGTTATGCATGATCAGATATAATAATAGAAATATGCATTTATCCATGAAGCTGCAGGTAATTATTTCAACCTTTAATGAAAGTTTCCATTCTTTCTTGAATATTCACACTAAATGTCCCTCTCCTAGTCATACCTTTCAATGTGCTTCTTTGATACTGAACAACATTCAAGGAAGAATCAAATGGGGAACTAGGAATTATGCTCAGTGCCACTGTTTTTTTATTTTTTATTTTTTTGGAAAGGAAAAAAATCAGAAACCCGAAGTCAGAAAATTGTGCATGCTCTTTTGGAAGAAAGTTATACCGAAATCAATAGACTTATTCTGAGTAAATATGAATAAGACCAGTTGCAAATAAGAATGTGCCAAGCAGCTTACCAAAGTCATCCAAATTCTGTCTCAAAGGTCATTCCAACTCATGTCGCTTTCACACTGTGAAATCTACCTATTTCCATATGTACTTTTCCAAATATATGCATCAGTTGTGGCATTTCTAAATTCATTCATTTATTTTATTTATTAAATTTGTTCAAAAGCATCTATGCTTCCAGTATTGGAATCTGCCATGATCAGTTTGAATCTGTCCAGTTTTTCCTTGGGACATCAAAGCCATAAGGCATTGTGCTGGATAAAACACTAAATTGAACAGATCTGGATCTGAAATTGCCTACTGCTGGCACCATGCTACCCCAATTTTAAAGCCTCTTCTGACTAGTTGCTGCTCAAGTTTTTACAGCGGATTCCAATTCCATGGGGTGCAATGTAGACTAGCCTCCTTGTGGTGCACCCCAGGCAACATGACTTGACATGGCCACATCTAGCTGCTGGGCCTTACAAGGATCTCCCAGCAAGAGGAAGCAGCATGGATATTGAACATGGAAATATGGGTTGAGCTATGAGAGACCTGTGGTGTGAAACCTCTTTTTAGGTAGGGCCTGCTCAAGGTGGCTTTGACCAAGGTCAACTTGGGGACAAAAGAAGGAACTTGTATGCCATCCCCCCTCCCATAGCAAGTCACATGCAACCTCCTCTCTCCCTCTCCCTCTGCTGTTGTCTCCCACCTGTTATTAAATATTTTCCCTAGAAGACTTCTGGAAGAGATCATGCAGCCAATACAGACACCAGAAGTGGGTCTACCATATCCACCTTCCCACTACTTCTGTGCCCTCATTGACCACATTGACCAATATGAATAATTCCCCTGCTACTCTCATTCCAGGGAAAATTATTTATGGGAAAATGGCACATGACTGCAGTCTGTGGGTCAACCAGGGAGCCACGTAGCCTGCCCATGTGTGCTAAGAGGTAGCTGCCTAGCTAGCTAGCCTGGGAGAAAAGAGAGGCAGTAAGCAGGGAGTGGGAAGAGTGGTTGAGCTGAATTCTGGTTTCCATTTTAGTTCAGAGCATTGGACTAGGTTGGCATGTATTAAGATACACACCAAAGAGATGTGAGCCACACCCTACCCCGGCAGCTTCTGTAATTACCAAAGGCTTACCTTGCCAGGCTGAGAAGAAATGAACCAGATAGAAAGGGGGAACTAAGTTTCATAGGATTCACAGCTTGATTGTCTCTATACAGATTCCTCTGCACATCAATGGCACAATCCCATTGCAATTTAGACAGAACAGAGGCCTGCAACTCCCACCATGGCCCAGCCAGCATTGCTGGGTAGCTCATGCTTGGCATTGTGCTCCCTTCTTCTGCCTTATCTTGTATAGAATTAGGTGCTAACTCAGGGATAAACCCCATTGAACTTAGTGGGGACTACGAGTAACTATAAATACATGAGTGCTCTTTATATCATTTTAATTATGAAATAATCTGGGTATCAAGGTTGACACCCTTAACAAAAAAATTAAAATATTTTCCCAATTACTCTGAAAGATTCATGTTTTCATTGTCATGCAGACAGCGTTTACAGTTGTTAACAGCTGAACTTAACATCAGAGTCTAACTCATATTATTTCTTGCAAAATCTGCTGTTTCTACCCTTCTGTCTTCCCATAAAAATCAACATAATGTGTTATTTTCTCTGTCACACTTTAGATTGCAGTCTTTGGATTTTTTTCCCCCCAATTAAATACTGAAGACTGAATCTGCTGTACAACCAACTCACTTGATTACATAAATTTAGCAGGTGATGTAGAAACAAGTGGACTTAACGATCATTGTTCAGACTGGAATTCAGCCGTCATTATTCCTCAGCTGGGTCAGAATTGCCAGTGCTACAGGAAGGGGAATCTTCTGGAAAAGCAGGTACAGTAGACTTATTCACAGACAGAGGCATATAAAGGCAGAGTGAGAACACATTTCACAGCTCCGCTCTTGCCGAGGGGTATCAAAAAAATCCACAAAGGACTTAAATGAGTCTGCTTTTCCTGGAGGCTGCCCAGTGGATTCCACAGCAGGCTTGCTTTCCCTGTGAAAAGTGGGCAAATAAGCATTATGGCAAGGAATTGTGCATGTCCGCGTGCTCTGTGCATTTTAGGGAGGATAAATGTGTATCATTATGTGTGAATACATTTGTGCAAGTTTTGAGTGTGCCACAAATCTGAATGTGTCTCTTGAACATTTGAAATTTGCTGATGAAGCATCTTTCTCTCAAGTCATATTTCCCTACCATTGATACTATGTACAATGCTATGTATGATACTATGTATGAACCTGCTTATCAAAATTCCCTGGTACTTGTCCCTTTCTAGGGAAGATAGGGAGCCCAGGACAAATCATCGAGCATTTGAGACCTGCAGCTGCACAACCAGTAACTGCCACCTGCCATCATTCTTTTCAGCCAAACTCCCCACCACCCACACCTGGCATAATGAGTCACCAGGGGAATCCTGGGGGGCTGCAGACTGACCTTGGACCATCCAGGTCTGGGCCATGAGTCTAAAGTTCCTCTGTCCCATGGACTGAAAGCCTCCATGTACATGAATAATGCAGAACACAAAAGGAATTTTGGCACAATCATGTTGTATTATCAGTTGCAATTGTTGCAATGTTAATTTTCCTTGTATTCTTGTTTTATTGCATTTTGTTGTATTTGTGGTCTGTCTTTTTGTATATTGTTGCAGACACAAAGAGAAGAACTCAAAGATATCTTCCTTCTATATCTGGCATTTCATTGAGTGCCCTCTTGTATGATTAACTAATCAAGGAGCTGACACACACAGCACTTTCCTCTCTTCCCTTCCTCCTTGTCTCTTTTGCTTGCTGAAGTCAAAGGTCCTTGTGAAGGCATCCAGGCAATGACTGTGACAACTGAGGACAGCTTGAAGGCCCAGAGGAATGTGGAAATAGTCCCAGATCGTAATAGGAGCCTCCCTGTTGGAGTAGATGCTTGGCGGATGGCTTCATGTGGCTTCAATACAATATATTGTGTATGGAATTAATGTGCAAGAGTGAAGGAAGATGGTCATCTAATGTGAACTTAAAGCAAATGTTTATTCATGATGTATCCATTTCCCAGCCAGTCCTCTCCAGCTGACTGGCTCCTCAGCATGCAGAGCAACAAATGTCTCATACTAAAGTAGCAGGTATGGAACACCCAGGAGCAAAGCATCTGCTCTGTGCAGTCAGAAAGGTAAAAAGATGCAGTGCTGCAGAAAGAAGCATGCCTTTTTAACATGGGGTGGAGGAAGGAAGGATACCTACAGTTTTACACGCTACTATCACAAATCCACTAAGGGAAATTCCTTATAAAGTTTCATTTTCTTGTAAGCATTTGCTTGGCTGCTGACTTGTCCCACCATTAGGATAGGTGACAATCCTAAACAATTATCAGCAATGCCGAGAGAGAGAGAGAGAGAGAGAGAGAGAGAGAGAGAGAGAGAGAGAGAGAGGGAGAGAGAGGGAGAGAGGGGTTGCTATCTTAAAGCTACTCTCTAGGAAGTAAGCTCTCCTGAACCTAGTGGGACTTATATCATACCAAATATGCATAGCATTGCATGAGCAAACATCAACACTTTCCTGGAACAAACTACAGGTATTTCAAGAATTATGGGTAAATATTGATGAGTTCTACCCTGATACCTGCATGTGACAGGTTCTGCTAAGAATCTCTAACATTCTCACTTTGCTGATGCTGACAAACTAGTCCAAAAGCAGAAGGAAAGAATGACTGGCATTCCTTGACCTGGTTTGAACCAATGAAACAAGAGATAAATTGAGTTAAAACAGTAGGAACTTGAAGAAGTGGCCATGTAATGCTAGTATTTTTGATATTATGGTAAGGTAAAGATGAGCACAATGAAATGTATGCCTGAATTGCAGAAAAGCTGGCTTCAGTAAGCTCCAAGACATACTATGTTCAGTTCAACAGCTAGATAAACTAAAGAAGAAAGGAATTCACAGTGGCTGGGACTTTGTGAAAAGGAATTACTAATACTGCAATCTCAATGAGGAAAATAAGTGTTGCAGGCCAAACGTCTAAACAAAAAGCCTGTGTGGCTGCTCAAAATAAATAATAATGTGACTTCTAATTCTTTACGGGCTCAGTCACCTCAGGAATGCTGGGCCTTGTGGGACTTTTTTGTACCTGGATATTCATAGGATTGTGTCCTCCATAAATGGTATTGGTAGGACTGATACTTTTAACTGTTTGCATGTTCTACTGTTTTCTTGTGATGTGATTATGGTTATATATTACGCTGTAATTCTATGCACGCTTTTCTAGGAGACCATGTTATTACAATCAGGCTTCCTTCTGAACAGACGTACATAAGGTTCCGCTCTTCGTTGTCGTGAACAGGCTTTGCAATTTTATATTGAAAGTTCTTGTAGAAATGTTTCAGTGAAGAAACACATTAAATACCAGCCTGTAAGTTTGCATGAGAAATTTATTTTGGTTTGGTTTTGGTCATAAATTACCCAGTTTGCACCTTCTAGAGCTGATTGTGCATTCTGGTGTGATTTGTGTGACAAAAGCAAAACAGTATGCACCCAATGGGAACATTCATTTGAAAAAAAGGGCATGGACAAAGGATACATTCATTTCAACAATGCATATAATGACTGCATGATATGAAAAATACGGCCAAAAATGCACACGCATTTTCCAGAAAAAATTAATGAAAACAAAATTCACAAGTTGATTTGGGCATAAGGTCTAATTTGGGTGGGGGGAAGCCTTTGGAAGCTTGGGGTTTCAGATTTGTGAAACCTACTGAAGGCTTTTTTGAAAATCCCCACTATGAGAGAGGAGATGGAACCAAGCAGAAATTGGTGATTTTCAATTCTGATACCTCAGTTCTGATACCTCTGATATCTGGGAACTTGCTCCCAGCTTTGCCTGGTAACTTTGTTGTGGTCATCGATGGCATTCAGGTGTCAGGTGTGCGCGCATATGCATCTTTTAAGTATTTATGGAATTCCAAATATTTGCCTTCATGACTAGTCTCATGCTGTTGTGCTTACTCCTTTAACAGTATATTTATTTTACAGATTATTTATTTTACTTGCCAAATTAATTTCAGTAAAATCCCAGTGAGTTAACTGGCCAAAGAGTAACGTCATCCCCTTGTTCAAATAAAATTAAAGGAAATGGACAGTGAAGTTTTCATTAAGTCCAAGACCGCTAGCTAGCCATAAATTCAGATTCTCTGATGATTGGTTGATTGCATGCATACTGTGGGACTCCTAAGCTACCTTGGCATCTCATACCTATCTTCCACTTTGTGCTTCAGTTCAAGTCCACTCAGGAGAAGCACCAAAGTCAGGACCATTCCCCATCAATCTGCCAACTGCCAATCTTTCACGGGCCACATTTTTCCACTTTTGTCCCAAGGCTGACTCAGCACATCTTGTTATCCAAGTTGTATTACAGTCCACAATGTAGTAATCACCAGATATCCTGGGGGGAAAATATTCAAAGTGCCAATATTACTTCACTCATGCTGGCTTCAACCTTAGCAAGAAGACAGGTTTTTCATCAAGGGAATAAAACAAATTTAATTTCTGTTAGACACGTTCAATTTTTACAAAACGTGCACCTCCCTCACATGATCTTTAATTTTCTGCCCACTATGCTGCCTTGTTTTCACTATTCTTTGGAGATGGAAGTTTCAGCAACCTTCAGCAACCATCAAAACGATTCCTTTGGCTATCAATATGACACAGATCCTGCGTTATTACAGCCAAAGACTCCTCTGAAGCTCAGAAATCATTGATTGAAAGAGCCCCTAATGAGATAAAAAGAATGAAAACTGACCCATCACATATCACAACATTCTTTTTAGATTTGCTGTTTGTAAACTGGAGGGTTCTCTCGGCTTTTTAGTTCTGGTCCCCACAGCAGCACAGTCATTTAATTACACTTTCAATGAATGTTACTCTTAATGTTGGAATATCTACGTTTGTGATGGTAATACATCTGAACCTTGTTGCTGCAACTGAAATGGTTATGGTTATCTCTCCTCAACACATGTGCAGACACACACACTGCACTGTGTTTTAAGTCCTCGTTCAATGTTTGGTCTGCTCTTCCAGAATGTTGTTAAGCCAGCGAGCAGTGGATGTTTTGCCCTCTAGCACTTTTGGCGCTTCTTCAATTTGCCTACCCATCCAAATCAAATGCACATGGATTTGTTGGAGATTTGGTGGTGCGCATGTATATGGCATTAGAATGAAGGAACAGAATGGTCTGCTCATTTGTATTTAGTCTGATTTGGGTCTTATGAGGTTAAATTTCATCCTCAGCGTAAAGTCCAAAAAGTTAAAAGTTTGGTTAAAAGTGTCACTAAGTTCAGGAGCCACTGATGAGGATCAGCAGATGATTAACCGGAAGCAGCTGAAAAAGGATAAATTCCCTGGTTCCAAGAGGTCTGAAGGAAAGGTAGCTCTCATTTTTTCCACAAAACTTGGACTTTGTAACCAGTTTCTTAGAATTTTCTGGAGATAATATTCATAGTTGGCTCAGCAAGGCGATTTAGGAAAGTGTGACCCTTTCTGATTGGTTAAGCATTACAAGAGCATCATAAAACTTATACAATATTGAGGCTTAAATAGGAATGTTTAGAATGTAGAGGAAGACTGGGACAGGGAGAAAGGTTGGGAAGGTAAAAATTGAAAAGAGATGAAACAAAAGGAAAACAGAAATCTGATTGCTTGGAAAATGTGAAAACTCTGATAGTAATGTATTACTGGGAAAAGCTTCAAATACAGGGATGACTGCTAGTACTGCTTATAGTAGACTGTTGAAATAAATGGGACTTATGGCAGTGAGCCCATTCATTTTTATGGGTCTAACAGGGGATACTGACAATTGTATCATTGGAAATTGGCTGGATGTATCTACTGTGGTTATTTTCTTACTCTCTTTTTCTTATGGTTTTGTTTTGTATGTGAATGTTGTAAACATTCAGACTTTAAAATCTATTTTTCCTAATAGTAATACTTTCTAAAAAGTAAAGAATGGTTGTTCTTTACAACTGTCTCTTGTTGGGCTATTATTATTATTATTATTATTATTATTATTATTATTATTATTATAACATTTCTATGCCGCCCCTTGCCGAAGCCTCGGGGCGGCTTACAACACAATAAGATACATTGAAATACAATAGAACATAATAAATTACCAATAAATACAGAAATACAAAAAATACACTGAGATACAATAATATAAAATTAAAATTAACAGTATAAAATAAGTAAATAAAGAATATAGGAGGAGGAAAGAGAAGGAAGAGGAAGTTGCCCTGGCCAGATCATATATTTTAACAATTAAAATGATGTTTAAATAAAAAGGTCTTTACACACACCTTCCCTAAAAGTCAAATGGCACACTACCTAAACAAGAAACCCACAAGATTGAGGCTTTCTGGTGGAGGCACCTGGGAAAATAAAGCATTCTACTTGGTGGCAGTGGAGAAGTTCATGAGAAATGGGAATGAGGAACCTGGTTAGGCTTGGTATCTTTTCCATTCAGGGGGCAGCCCATGACATGGAGATTCATTGGAAGTGTATGCGGATGATGGCCATGATTTTAACAGATGGCATGGGTCCGTGTGGGCAGAACCTGTATGATGGAAGCTACATGATTCCTGAAAGTGGGAGCTGTTCCGTGAGGGCACCCTCAAGTACCACAATTATTTGTTCCCACTGAAATGAGCTTAGCTTGGAAAAAGATAAAGGGATGGAGGGAGGCACCCCATGTCAGTAGAACTAGCATTTGTCCTTAAGGCCAGTGACTCCAGCCACTAAAAATCAAAGTGGCTCTTACATGCACAGTCTTACCTCGTTAGCTGCAGAACTCTATCCAGAGCTCTCTTTCTTGGTCCTGTGAAAGTGGGATAGAGCTTTACTCCAGCTAGTTTTTTTCCCCTAATATAGATGCTGTACCATCAGAATGTATGAATAAAATTTGGCTTTTATTCTTTTCATTTCTGTTAGGCATTGTGCATTAAGCATAAGAAGCTGCCGTGATTTAGCAGTATCATCTTTTAGTTGAATGCTGGGCCATCAATTTTGCAAGAGATGGATGTGTGGTTTAAGTTGATCAGTGATGCTTACCCTGTTTAAACAGATTTTTGTGGCAGGACTAAGGCACAGTAAATCCTAAGATAATTAAGCTGATCACATACCGTATTGAAACGACTTCAAAAGGACAGCAATATTTTTGTTTATGACATTTCAATCTTGTCTACAGCAAATTATTTTGTCCACGGCAAATTCATTTTGGGAAAGATTAAGTGTGTTTTGTCAAGAGAAAGGCATTAGGCAACATGCACACACACTGCTGGAAGGATTGTTTTTAAGGCTTTAGTGTGTTTGTTCATTCACACTCACTAACTTGCCTCAGAAAAATGGTACCACTTTGGTGCATGAAGAGTTGACATGGCCCATGTGTGCGAATTGCTGTTTACTCCTTAACTCTGTGTTCTGTATTAATAAATGGGGATAGATTGACCATCACTTGGCACTTCATTAGATTCTACGGAAACTCAGCTTTCATCCTGATTTTCCTATGTTCAAGCTTCCACATGGTGAAGTTCTCATTATGATTTTCATAGGGTGCCACAATTTCAACATCCTCTGGAATGCTCCAAGGGTAGAAAGAAATGCTGAGTTTGAAGAGGGAGCACAATTATTCCAATCTATTCTAGCTAAATCTGACAGCAGACAACAGAAGATTGAATTGCTTCCACTCTTTACTCCAAATCATCAGGGGAAAGGTAAAGGAAACAGCATGTGGTGTGCTAAATGCTTTTTCATCGCAACAGCTCTTCCTCAGTGAGAGTTTTTTAGGACCACCTTTCTCTCGCTGGCTTTTAGGGCTTCAGGCACTGGAAACAGAGAGAGCCCAGGATAGAGGTCCAAAGATCCAGCAAGGTAACGTTCCCCAGTCTGGAACCTTCCTAATGTCTGTTGTTTCAGTTCCCAGTAGAACCAGCAAGCATGGTCAGTGGTCGGGAATGCTAGAAATAGAAGTACCTGCTTGCAGGAGACTGAAGTAAAGGGAAATTTCCTTTGGTTGCCTAAGTGATTTATAATATCTGTGCTATCATAGAACCTATGCATCTATATGCTCTCAATCCAGCATCAAGAAGATGATTTTTATTCTCCCCTTGCTCAATTTGGTGTTTTCCATTGGGATCAGGATACAAGGGTGATATTTAGTCACGGAACACAGGCCTGTACTAGAGGAAAGTCCCAGTGCAAAATATCCAGACTTACATATAGATCGGTGTGTCATTATCATTACGATTTTCTCATCAATACATTGTGTTTATATCTTCCCTTTCTTCCACTTGCACAGAACCCAGGTGGACTTCAAAGTTCTTTCCATTTCAAGAACCCTGTGAAGTAGGTGAGATGGAGAGGCAGACTGGCCCAAAACTGATCAGTGAATGACGAATACAAGCAAGATCTCTTGAGTCTCAGTCCAGCACTCTTAACCACGACACCACAAGGGGGCTCCGAATGTTACAATACAGGTTTTTCCTCTAAGATGTATTTGAAATACATTTGTAAATACCTGTGTATGAGTATGTTTTAGAAAGAAGGTATTTTGCAATCTGTGTTTAGTAGTACACTGATTTAAATGAATACTTAAATATGAATGGATGTGCCAGAAAAATCATGCTTTAATCTGGAAGTGGGGCCAAAATGAATTCAGGAATGAACACATGCAGAAGTTACTCATTCCGAAAACACAGTAATCCAACCTTCCCTTTATTTCAGGCATGGGTCTAAGAGCTTCTGCAATGCAATAGTCCCATTCTCACCTTGCAAATGATTTCACACCGCTAGAAGCTGAGTTTACACTATGGATTTTGGGTGGGGATCTGGATTTCAGTCCTGCCTTTTAAGTTGTAGAAAATGTATTTTCTTAATGATCAATCTGCTATGAATTCAATTTCTGGGTTCGTATTTTATAGGGATAGGTGGGAACTTCATTTCAGGTTGTTTCTGAAAAGAATTGATTGAAATTCACTTTTTTCCTATATTCTAGATGAAGAATATGGAGTGGAGGCGGAAGGGCAGGCACACAGACTTGACAAATTCTTCCATCCAGGCCCAGGACTGTAAGCTCTTTGCTCTTAAAAGTACAGGTTTGGATCCCTGTATATACAATCATTTTAGCACTAGCTGGAGTAAGCTTTGGCATTTTATCTCTGGCAAGCCTTGGCATCAAATCAGTCAGCTACAACATGGTTTCTCCCATGCTGGGAATAGCCCTTGTTGACTTTGACTCATTCACATCATTAAAAAAATCATTTTAGTTCATTTTTTTATAAGAATGTATCAACAACCACACATTTATTCATATACAGGATGGAATGAATTTGCAATTGTCACTGTTTCTTCAATAATAATGTATGAGAAAATGAAACTGAAAGATTTAATTCTTATTTTAAAGCTGGAGTTTCCAAACTCAAATTGGGTCATCATTGGTTTGGCCCAGAAGTCATTTGTCAAGGAAGTCTTTTGCTCACAGAAGGTCTTGAAACTCAGGGATGAGAAACAGCAATTGAGGGTGCAGTTCTATGCAGGTATAGTTGGAGAAAAGTTCTACAAACCTCAGTATTCCCCCCCCCCCCAGCATGGCCAACTGAGGAAAGTTCAGAGATGTAGGACTTTTCTTCAGCAAAATATGTACACCACTGAGCTCTTAGCCTGTATCCTACTATAACATGTCAACAGAGTTTGAAACACTAAGGAAAGCAGCCAGATTAGTAAGGCAGTTTTAAAACAGCAGTAGGCCAAAACATGTCCACAGTAGCGTGCTTGAATCCTGTCAAAACTTTTCATCAGTTTGAGAAATAAGGCCATCCCTTTTTTCTCCTAGTCTCTGTGACAGATTGCCATTGGCTTGCTTTCATTTATTACCATCAACTTGACAGGGGCTGAGTTTTAGAGGCAGAATTCATGTGATGTAGGAGATCCGTAACTTTTCTTCTCAACATGGCAGGTTAGGTTAATAGGTGTCTTGCACCTATTAATAGCTATTAAGAAAGCTTTTAAAACTACCTTGATTTTAAAAACTGGTAGGGGATAGTTTGACCCTTGCCAGGTTTTTAAATCAAGGTAGTTTTAAGATTCAGGTAGCAGAAAAGTTCAAGTTTCGTCTTCAGCCTGAGATGGTCCATTGATGCATTGTAACATCAGCAAAGTACATTGCCCATATTATATGCAATGATATTCACTATATGCAATGATAAACGTAAGTAATTCAAATTAGGTTAGGCACATTATACCTCAACGCAGACACCATGAACTCTACACAGCAGCTCAGCAATTTCCTTGGCGGGACTGTGATAAAAATGCTGCAATCATATAAGCATAGACAAAAATTCAGCTAATTTCAGGGAATAACTACCCTGTTTTTTGAAGGATAAATTTTGAATTTTGATAAGACAGTGATCCACATTTCATTAGCATTAAAATTTATGGTGAAATATCAGGATGATTGCAAGGAACCAGCAAAAATAGCAATGTTACCGTTTTCCCCACCCCCAAACTTGTAAGCTCTACAGATCTCTGAGTGAATTTTCATATAGGTGAAAATAATCGGTAGCAGTTGTGCAGTGTGATTCTCTGTGGCGTTTTGCAGTTGTGACGTTTGTACACTTAGATAGCATATATCCATTGGAATCTGTGGAATGGATACTCTGCATAGAATCATCCTGTTAAGTTTGGCATTCATTGTCAAGCCAGTAGAGGTAGAATAATGTGTTAACAGAAGATTAAAGCAGCAATGGAAAAATATACCCTGTGGTCTACAAAAGCATAGGAATGGATCTTGCTTGACACAATACAATAGCTTTCCTGCCACACTCATGTTACTTTCTGAATTCTCATCCCAACAGCAAATGTCTAACATGAATTGTTTTAGCAAAGTAGTTCATCTTGCAGAGGGGCATATTTCAGCTTACACTAAGTTCTCAGCTGGCTTTAATTACATGATAACAACCCAAATCAAAGACATACAAAGTGATGATTTGGATGCAATAAAACAGTTACAGGTTTTATTTTATATAAAGGCAAACAAATGGCATTCAATAAACAAGGGGATATTGGCCAGAGAAATAAAAAAGGGATCAAATGTATGGCTATGGATTTCCTTTTAATATGTGATGATGAATATACATGCAGAGAACTTCACATAGGTCATTGAAAGGCAGCAAATATTTTAGTCTGCCACATCGTGAAACCCTTAGAAAATGGTGGAGACAGTAGATTTCCTGTATGCAAATACATTCCCTACTGATGGTTGGACAGTTGGGAGTTGGGGGTTTGTTTGTGCAGAGTCATGTCTGACATGCCAATTTATTATTATGACTGAAATAGCTAAATAGAATTAAATGTCCTACAGTGAGTATATGTCATATCAGTAAAGCAGACTTCCCTAACCTGGTGCCATTTAGATGTCTTTGCCTGTGACCTCCATGATATCTATTTATGCAAGCTTGGCCTGAGCATAATAGGAGTTGTAGTGCAAAGGTCTGGCAGATACCAGGAAGCACAAGGCTGGAGTGAAAAGTACCTACACCTAAACACTGAATAATAGGACAAGGATCTCTCGGATGTTCTCTGCCTGGACAAGAAATGCCACAACTTTCACCGAAACCTTCTTATATCCTCTTAAAATGCCCAGGGTATTTTGCATTAAAGGGTATTTTAAAATGGGCTTTGGGGTTAGCTTTAGGTAAATCTTGATAGAGATCCTAAATTGACACAAATGAAGCAACAGAAAATATTAGCAGCATTCAGGAATTGGTGGGAGAATCTTTTTCTTCAGCGGTCACCTAGGAATGGAGTTACGAACCCCTTCATTTTGGGAAGGGTGGCGATGTGAATGACTGCATGTTGAGCACTATGATATAAGGATGGAAAACCAGCCAGGAAGTGTGGAGTGTGTGTTTTTCTTCCATCCTCCCTCTGGCCTTTTTTCCTTTCAGTGCTGCCCCCAGTCATCTTTCCTGAGCAACAATGTTACCAATTTGGAATATGTGTAGACATTATTTTGAAATGCTCCAAAATATCTTTGCATGCATCCTCCACGGTAATTGACTTCATGAATGTTTCAGATATGACTAATTAGCTGAACCTATTCTGGTCATATCATGGCTGGCAGTTTCAGAGCACAGCTAACTAGACTGGCTCTGCCGGCTAGTACATCAGCACACCTGGAGGGTGAAGGGTCGCTACGTCTCTTACCTCTCATTGCAAGCTGTTGCAGAAAGATTAAGGAAGGGAGAAGCACTTGGTCCCTGGGGTAGTGCTGACCAGCAGGGAGCAGTGAAGTAGTGCTGACCAGGGTAGTGCTGACCAGCTGGAGCAGTGAAGAGACCCCTTGAATTGCCTCCAAGCTGGGCAGGTCATGAAAGGTCCACTTGTCATCCAGTTGTTCATGTGCTTTGAGCCAGTGTGGAAAAAGTGACACACAACCAACAGTTAATACATTTATGCATACATTAGCTAAATCAGTATATTATGATTTATATGAATATTACATATATGCATATATTTGCTTAATCAGAGACAAAGAGTGCTCATCAATGGCACCTTCTCAAATTGGATGGAGGTAACTAGTGGGGTGCCACAGGGTCCAAGGCCTGAGCCCAGTGCTTTTCAACATCTTTATTAATGATTTAGATGAGGAAGCACAAGGAAAGATAATCATATTTGCAGATGATACAACACTGGGTGGAACTGCAAACACCCTGGAAGACAGAATGAAGATCCAGAGTGATCCTGATAAACTTGAACACCGGGCTGAAAACAACAGAATGAGATTCAAAAGGAACACCATAAACGCGAAAATTTTGCTTGACAAAAGCTTGCTTCGGAACAAGTGGAAACAGTCCCTAATGGACGTTGAACCAAAAACATTTGGAAAGTGGCAATTACACAAAAGTCTTTGGGTGCAGTCCCATGTAAGGAAGGAGAATTTAAAGTCCTGCATTCGCAAAGTCCTGGGCATGTTGGGAGATGTAGGACTTTCTCTCTATCTAAAGTTGTATGGGATTGCACTTGCCTGCTTTCACAGGTTTCTGCTGTGTTATGGTTCTGATGTTGTTCACTTGTGCTTCGAAAGATTTGTGTTTCCTTGATTATTATTGCTTGGCTACACCAGGGTGTTTTGCATAATGCAAAAGAGAGACTGCAAAAACTTGCTAGAACAATATTTAACATATGTAAGGTACCATATTTCAGCTGCTGATATGATCATTTATGACTAACCTATTACAATTTGTTAGCACAGGCCTGACCTTTCTCTTGTAAGCAAAGGTCACATTTTACAGCTTTCTGGATATGTCTTATCCATTTAGGAGGTTTTACAGAAAAGGAAGACGTAGTGACATTTAGTTTTATTTTAGTTCACCGCCATTAACCTCCCGCTGCTGACTTTTAGATGGCTGCACACAGCGCTTTATCAAGACATAGCAAATTAAAGCCCTCATCCGGGCCTGAAAGTTAAAGCGCGTTAGCACTTTGCAATTTATTTCAGAGATTGCAAAATTTAAATGAATTTGCTTAATGACACAGACTGTGGGTGCCTGCCAATGACACATGCAGGAAGCCAGATAAATACAAAGTGCAGCCTGAAAGACACTTAGCACTTGACTGAAACGCATCGTGAAGGTATCACTCACAGCCCGACTCGGGACACTGTGTGGTTCAGAGCCTGCGAGCGGTGTGGGTCCCCACCTCCCCTTTGGTGGCTTCAGAATTTGATCTCCATTCTGAGGAGTCTAGTGGCATGTTTCAAAGGCAAGTGATGCATCCAGACATATTCTGCAGTACAGCTTGGGATCAGAATATGCCACATTAGATTGCAGGTGGGCAAATCACACAGGCACATGCAGCATGTGGTTCCAAACCCACCAGTGTCTCCATCAGCCTCTCTGGTGCTGGCTGAGTGATATGTGGGACAAAATATGTGGAGCGGGGATGGGCGTGGATGCAAACCTCAGTCCACTGGTCTGATCTCCTCATCTCCCGGTTAGACCTCCGCGTGCTGCCACAATTGCAAACCTTGCCAGTTGGTTTATTTACTTTTTTATTTAGCATATTGCTTGACTGCCTTTCAGGGCAGAAGTCCACCCAAGGCAGGACTACAATAATAAAACATGTAATAAAAACTTATATGGTGTTTTTAAAAAAGCAATAAAATGCAGAGGAAACAGTACACATGCAAATAAAAGCGATAAAAACAGCAATACAGACAGCCTTATCTGGGGCTTGATCCTGGCATCCCCATCAGCATGTTCAGCAGTCTGATAGCTGCACATGCAGAGAAGTGGGGGTGCAGTTTAAGGGCACCCCACATCCCCTGTACACTTTTCCCCCACACAATCGGGGGCCGACACTTGCACAGGGCTTCTATCTCCTTGAAGTCGCTCCAGCACCAACATTCTCTTTGTTCTGTCCATTGTTCTGTCTTCGGCTTCAAGGCATTTATTGAATCAAGATGGGCACGCATGAATGCCACTTGTTTTCATCAGAACCGCATATTATTACAGCTGTTTTTAGCTGCTTTAAATAATTTTAAAGCTTCTATGCTGAAATGTTTATATTACTTTTATTATCATTATTTTGCATGTGTGGTTTGCAATTTGTAGCTTTTGGGTATTGAACAGTATAGAAATAACACTAATAAATATACTAGTACTAATAAATACTACTGCTAACACTAATTCTAATACTAATAATTATATTCTTCTATCTGGACACACACACACATGCACACATATAGTTGTAAGTAAATGGAGGTGGGCAGAAATGAAGAGATGGAACTCAAAGGTGTTGCATCAATTTAGACCACATCTTTTTGGCAGATCTGTAGACAATGAAGCTGGGCAGGCCTCTGATCTATGCAGGCAACTAGCTCGGTGGTGTAGTGGGCAAGAAATCTGATTGCAGTTGAGTGATGTCTATGAGATCACCACCTGGAAGGATAACCTACTTTGGTGCTGCAAGGACTTGCTTGGACTGCAAAACTCCAAGAAAGTGTGGTGTGTTAGCCTCAAGGGCAATCCTTAGCTCTCTACTGGTCATGACCTATGACTGGAAAAGTGCCATGGGATGCTCAATAACTTTAACCCCGCTAAAAGTGCCTACATGTGTGCACCTTCAGTGACTGACAAGTTTCTGCTTAGTTACTCACCCTGCTACGTGCTCAGAATAAAATCTAGAAGGCACTTCCACAGATCTGCAAAAATATATTGTGGTCCAAAATCCGGTAAGTGTACCCATCCTGTCTAAATTTCCCTCTTAAAAGCAGAAAGATGAGGGCCTTCAGCAGCCAATCCTTACTTATCTATTAACCTTCGTATGAACTTGCTTAATCTCACACATCCACTTAATGCAGGCAAGCAATCTGGACACAAACCCTTATGCTTCAGCAAGCCAGGAGTGTTTCCTTGCAGGTGCAGCCTTGATGCCTGTTAGGGATCATGTGCAAGCTTTGCTGACAGTGTGGGAAGGAGGTGCTCCCATGCATGCCACATCTGCCCAACCACTGAGCAGCAGCAAACCAGCAAGCTGCCTGCAGGGTGGCAAACTCCTCCCATCAGTCCAAAATACCATGCTAGGTCCACAGATGTGCACCCATGGGCCCTTCTGCTCTAGTTTTCTAAGGGAGAACAAGCAAGCTTGATAGTTCATCCCAGACAGAGCATGTCCCTGACCTGTGCAATGGCTTCATACAAGTCTGGAGAGCCTTAAAGAGCTACCTAACCTCAGCCTGTACACCTAACAGGGATGAGCTAGGAGATGCAGTGGACCAGGCAGCATGGATACAGAGGGAGCATGTACCAAAAGCGCAGCTCCCCAAGGTAATGCCCACAGGGCTAGCCTTGCAACAGACCAGAAGTGTTATTTGGTCAGAAGTGACCCATTTTAGTGATGGAACTCTATCTCAGGCATTTTGCCCCTGAATGGTGAAAATTCCCCAGTGAACATTAGTGGGCATAGCTCTTCCACATGGGACAGGAAGAACAACACCCACAGTCCTCTGCCGCCATGACCAACCTTAGACCTTCCAATTAACATGCATCCCTTGCTGATTGTGCTGAAATTCCCAACAACGCAAGGCTGCCCAGGGTGGTTCTTCTGGACACACCATGGCAGCTCAGAAATCCAGAAAGAATTGGTGATGGCTGGTAAGGCCACCACATGGAACAGCACAGTTTCAATGGAGAATCACATTGTAAAGGCTGCTGGATCCACAAACTGAAGAAAATATCTGGGGACATGGGGCTGAGGGTTGTATGTACCATGGAATCAGAGGTATGATCCATTGCCCCTCTCTCTTTGGACTAGCATGCCAGCTTACATTTAATAGTATTTAGCTGATAGTCCCCTCCTTCTTGATAGGACACAAAAGTGCCGGATGTGCTCCATCTGTATGCCTGTTGCAAAATGTAAGTGCTCTCTACCTATCTTGACATAAGAGGCCCTGGTCCTGGGGTCTACGGACTGTAGCTTGCTCTACTTCATTCTGTCAATCTCCCAAATGAATTCATGCTCAGAAAGCCAGTTCCTGAAACCTTTGCACCTCATCACACAGTAAAGCATCAGCAGTGCCCTTGTCCAGGTCTAGTGTATGTCATGCACAGTAAAGAACATTGTATCTGTTGCAATATATTGTGGAGGTTCTGACCAGAGCCATCACTCTGCAATGACAAGAAATCAAAGTATGAGTGACCTAGACAGTGCCTTGATTGTTGCAGCAAAACTGCATTACAGAGTTAGGCAATGGATCTGCCCAGCTAGTTCAGCTGGTTCTTTTGATTTACAGCAGGCCTGCCCAAGTGATACAGGAAATGACTGAAGGATCAGATATTAGAATCCTGTAGAAAACTCTGCATATATCCACAATTCAGGCCAGTGTACAGATGAGAATATTGTCAATCACTATAAATATATCCAGTCTTACAAGAGAACCTGAACAGAAACCTGCTTCTAGAAAAATAATCCAGAAAGAGCTAAACAGTAAAACTTCCATTAGAAAAATGGCGTTTGGGCGTTTATTGTTCCTGAGTAGTACACTGAACGGCCATGTTCAAGCATCCCCTTGAGAAAACCTAATCCTGCTAGTTGTGACATTTTCTCATGCTGGGAACTCCACATGCAAGCATTAACACTTTCTCTGTATGAAGGAAGTGGAGGATCCTTCATACCCTGTACTTTGAGTGCTGTTAGTAAGGTGTTTTTCTTCCAGGATTATGTTTCTGTTTGTTGTACTTTTCTGCCTCTGTGCTGTAACCTGCCAAGTTTTTATCAGTTGTGCATTTCCCAGGTCTTTCAGCAATAGCGGGATCTGCCCATACATGAACTGTTAGACATATGCAGGAAAATTGTGGTCATTCCAAATCCTCTCTCCTAACCAGTTATCAAGCCTCCATTGT